AGGTGCAGTTGGATTCGTTAGCAAAGCTTTCTGCTGCAAATGCAGAAAATCTGCTAATGATGGTTTAAAATAGAGTTTATTCCATATCACATCCAGGACTGAAGAAAGGCAACTGCTTGTGTTCGTTCCATGGCTCACTGGTGCTGGGGCTAACATCTCTGCAATTCTTGAGGCCTCTCTCAGGGTGCCAAGCTCTGGCCATCATGATTTTGTTCCAGCCAAAAATAAAGGGAGAAAGGATGGCACACTAGCAAGCCCTACCTCTTTGGTCACAAAGGCAAAAATATTTCTGAGTAAACCTCATATTTTTATATTACAAGAGAGACTTGGGAAGGGAAAAAAGAGATGGGGAAGGAGTTATTTAGCTAGTCAGCTAACAATGGTAGATATGAAAATAAGTGGGCATGTCTATTTTTTAAAAAATGTTTTAAGTAGTTGAAAGGGGTTTCAATTCAACAAGTCAAATTATGAGTAGGGTGTATCTTGATCAATCATTCTCCCCCATCTTTCCCAATTCAATTCATACCCTCAAGTTACATGGGGCACATCTATTTTTAGGAAGTAAAATCCATAGGATTGATGATGAATTGAATTGTGAGTCCCTTCTCACTTGTTTTTCCTTCTCATTGATTACCATTAGTAATGGGGTGAGGGCAGAGGGTGGTGGGGGAGGATTGGAAGGCATAGTACATAGGAGGAACCTAGCCAGGAATGGAGTCATTTTGTTTGAAACAGGGTCTTGCTATGTAACCCAGGTTGGCCTAAAACTCACTCTGGAGCCTAGATTGGCTTTGAATTTACAGTCTACCTGCCTCTACCTCCCAAGAGCTGATATTACAGAGAGGTTTGTGCCACAATACCCAGCAGTAATTAAATCTTTTCTTAAGATTTGGGGCTATAGCTCATGCTTAGCTCATTTACTTAAGCCTGCAGAAGGCCTCTGGTTCTAACCCCAGAATTGCAAATAAAAACCAAACACCCAAATCTTTTCTTTAGGAAACCTGCATGCTGGATAGTCCCTTTCCTTAGTAACGGAGTTCATTGTCTACAATCTGGTCTTTGGGGATTTTGGAAATAAAAACTAAAGGCTGGGAAGTTGGCTCAGTGGTAGAGCACTTGCCTTGCATGCCTGAGGCTCTGGATTTGATTCCTCAGCACCACATAAGCAAAAAGAAAAAGCCGGAAGTGGCACTGTGGCTCAAGTGGTAGAGCACTAGCCTTGAGCTGAAGAGCTGAGGGACAGCACCCAGGCCCAGACTTCAGGCCCCATGACCACACCCCCCCAAAAAAACTATATATGAGATTACATATGAGATTACCTTTGAGTTTATAAAGTGGTTTCTTAGGCATTGTGTCCTTTGATATTTGTTAAAGTCTGGGATGATAGATGAGCAGATATCATTAGGCTTAGGAAAGTTAGGTCAGCTGTCTGGTATCATACACCTCTGGCCTGTAGGATGTGGATCAGGCCATGGGGGGGTTCTTTCTGGAGAGGAGCAATCACAGGGGCTCTTCTCTGAACTAGAACTGGGAAAACCTGGATTGATATTAATGAACAATTTTGACAGATCTTCATGGCAGCTTGGTGGCTCAGCAGTGGCACTTGTGTGAAGCTGGGGGCAGAGAACACCTGGAAATACCCACAGTTGGGAAGCTCAGTGAGGTTCCAGCTTGACATGACCACCGACAAAGCAAAAGGGATGATGCAGGCTTCTGTCAAAATGGCCTTTGTGTTATGAGTCTCAGACATGTGTCAAGAGAAGCATGTGTCCTTGAGGTGAGACTGGTTTATTAAACCTGTCCAAGGAGAGGAGATGCTTGAGAGTGCTTGAGAGGCAGCCATCTTGGTCTGAAGTCACCCCTGTACCCTAGAAAGGGAGACTTGTCATAGGACCAGGCAGTTGAAGTCACTTTAGTCTTCCTGCAGGCTAGATAACTAATAGTTCTTCTGGTTCAGGATCTGGAGTGGGTGGGGCACTGGGCATGTCTTACCCTCCTCTCTGTGGAAGATTCTCAGGAGCTTCCCCAGTCTTCCTTGTTGTCTCACATTCCTCAGGGTCAGGAAGTTCTTCCTGATGTCTGACTATGTCTCTTCCACTACTATTAATCATGCTTGCAAAACTCGCTCTTTTTTCTGACATCCCTGTGTCTAATAATGGCATCATTAGTCTTCTAGTCACGGCTGCTGCAATCTTCAGAGTCGTCTTCCTTTATAATTCTTTCTCTCCTTCCCCATATTTTCCAAACCTTGTCTACTGGAACTTTCCCAGCCCACCCCTCTAGAATTCCTGACTTGCACACCTCTTCAGCCTTGTGTCTTCTAAGGTTTTCATTGGTAATTATCCACCATTGTCTGTGGAACACACAATCATCTTCTATTTCAATTCAAATACCCTTGGCACTGAGATGTCTTCCTTGATTTCTCTCTACTGAATCTGATCTTGATCTGAGGTAACTTAACATTTTGGCACCTCTCTCTGACACAGTCATTTATTCATCTACTCAGTGAATGTTAATTATAGACCAGCTCTGGTCAAGCCATAGGTTAGATGTTAGAGATGATTAGGATTTAGTTCCTAACCATGAGAAGAGAAATGCTGAAGTTCAGTGTAGTGTAATGGCTGCTTCCATCGTGGTCCCAGGGCATTGTAAAAGCCCAATGGAGAGGCATCTCTCAGAATAAAGAGCACAGAAAGTCTTAAGGGGAAGACAAGGTTTAACATGAGTATTAGCTAGGAGGAGAGTTTGGATGCAGATGAAAAGAGATTCTAGGAAACGGCTTGCACAAAAATATAAGGACTTAAAAATAACTCTTGTCACGGGTGAGAGCTTGTTCCCCTGTTGGATTATAGACTTGTTGAGGGCAAAGATCACACATAAATGACCTCTATATACTTCTCATTCAGAATCTTACTCATGGTATCTACTCAACAAATGTCTGTGGAACAGCCATATTTAAGGGCAAAGAAAATGCTGTGGCTCAGCACCATGGACAGATCACACAGACACCTGCAGTTGGAGGTAGTCCAACCTGTGAGCTAATTTGCATGTATTTGCATAATGAAGCCAACTTTATTTCCCTGGGGGGGTCTGAAGGCTCTGCATCATAGGGCATCCAATCAGTCCTGGTATTGGGGCTGGGGGAGGGAGAGGGAGGTTGGGAAGGGAAACTGTCAGGACCAGAGACCTGTCTCCTGAGGACTCTAGGAGACTGTAATTTCCCCTTTGCTGATCTCCTGTTCTCTTGTCAGGAGCCAGTGGTCCTGAGCCTTCTGAAGTTAGGATTCTTCCCGGTGGTGGGGATCCTGACATCAAGGATGGAACATCTCAGATGGTGAGTGGTAGGGAAGTCTGGGAGATGGGGATTACATTCAGATTCCCAAATCCAAATAACCTAGGCTTGAATCTTCACCACCTACTTCACTGGTTTTGTGACCTCATGGATTTTGAGCTCTGTTTTCTTTCTTTCCTTCTTTCTTTCCTTCTTTCTTTCCTTCTTTCTTTCTTTCTTTCTTTCTTTCTTTCTTTCTTTCTTTCTTTCTTTCTTTCTTTTTTGGGGGGGGTCTTCAGCTCAAGGCTAGCGCTCTACCACTTGAGCCACAGCATCACTTCCGGTTTTTTCTTTTTGCTTATGTGGTGCTGAGGAATCGAACCCAGGGCCTCAGGCATGCAAGGCAAGCGCTCTACCACTGAGCCACCTTCCCAGCTTGAGCTCTATTTTCCCATAGTAAGTGTGAAAAATAGCTACATTACAAGATTGCAAGTATTGGGGAAATGGTAGGAGATGAGCCATGAGCAGGATTTGTAAGAAGTCTGAAACGGGTGGGGGGTGGGGGTGGGGAGAGGAGGTTGGGAGACTGAATCTTAGAGGTGCTACTGTCTGAGTCTTTGAAGCTGTCATCCCCTCCTAGTCAGCAGATGGCCCAAGAGCTGGTCTGGGATGAGGGAGGGCTCCGTCTGCCAGATCCTCCGTCCCTGGCCCTCCTGCTGTCACCCCCTCCTGCCATAGCTCCTGTCCTGGCAGCTCCTGAAGCACTGATTGGTGGCAGCTCTTGCTGAGAGCTGACCTCTCTGTCCTGTAGCCTGGGAAAGCCTGGGGTGAGGGCCGGGGGAGGGGGGAATTGGCTCCAGAGCTGCTTCTCTATCAGCCTCCCATTTCACCAGTCCACTGTTCCTGAGAGGAGGAACTCCTGAGTTCCGTGCCCAGGCTGGATTCAAATGGACCTTGCATAGCCAGCCTTCCTCCTTTATGTCTTTCCTTCCTCTGTGACTTCCTACCATGGAAAGGGACTGTGGGAGAGGGTTAAAAGGCAAAAGGGGAAATTTCATTGGGGGAATATTTGGAACCTAGGAAAGGAAGGCGTCTTCCCTCAGGTTTTTCCTTCCTATCTTAGCCCAAGTGGAGGGAGCATAAACCTGTAGCTAGATTGGAGGAGTAGGATGTGGAAGGAAGAACTTTGGTGGAATTTTGTGTATGTATATTTGAGTCCACTGTTCTTATCACAGGCCTGGCTTCTGCAGCAGTGGGGTATGGGGTAAGATTGAGGCACACTGATGGCTCTGGACCAGTTTATTTAAATCCAGCTTGTTAAAAATGAGTCCACCTAATGACTGGTTTCTTTGATTATTTTGTTTGTCTGCTTGGGTCTCTTTTTGTTCCTGATAATCTAAGGATATTTAAAAACCCATTTGGCTGCGTACATTTCCTCTTATAAGTATTTATCAAATTTGCAGCATTTGATGAATGACGGGATTATTTTTTGCCCTGTGTCTTTGTCTATTATGACTGTTCTAAGGACTTTACAACCCATTTGTGTTAAGATAGTACAATTAATCACAATGAATTGATAAGCATTACCTACAGGGATACAAGATTGCCAAGGAAAGATGGGTTTTAGATGAAGATGACTGTTGTTCAGCCTGAATCCTTTTTCTCCCTGTTTTCCCAGGAGATTCCTGGGGCCTGGCCCCCAACACTATGAAGAGCCTTTGCTGAGGCCATGAGGGGTTACCATGGCGACCGAGGCAGCCATCCCCGCCCAGCCCGCTTTGCTGACCAACAGCATATGGACGTGGGCCCAGCTGCCAGGGCCCCGTACCTGCTGGGCTCCAGGGAGGTCTTCTCTACTGAGCCCCGTTTCTGTGCTCCGAGAGCTGGCCTGGGACACCTTTCTCCAGAAGGGCCCCTGAGCCTGAGTGAAGGGCCGTCCATAGGCCCTGAGGGAGGGTCAGGGGGGGCTGGGGCTGGGGGAGGCAGCAGTACCTTCCCCAGGATGTACCCTGGCCAGGGCCCCTTCGACACCTGTGAAGACTGTGTGGGCCACCCACAGGGCAAGGGTGCCCCCCGCTTGCCTCCTACACTCCTGGATCAGTTTGAAAAGCAGTTGCCCGTTCAGCAAGATGGCTTCCATACACTACCATACCAGCGTGGTCCAGCAGGGGCTGGGCCTGGGTCAGGGCCAGGGTCTGGCACTGCCCCTGAGCCCCGGAGTGAAAGCCCTAGCCGAATTCGGCATCTGGTTCACTCTGTGCAGAAGCTTTTTGCCAAGTCCCACTCTTTGGAGGCACCTGGGAAGCGGGACTATAATGGGCCCAAGGCCGAGGGAAGAAGTAGCTCTGGAGGAGACAGCTACCCTGGTCCAGGATCTGGAGGCCCCCACACCTCCCACCACCACCATCACCACCACCATCACCACCACCACCAGTCTCGACATGGCAAGAGGAGCAAGAGCAAGGACCGAAAGGGGGATGGGCGGCACCAGACCAAGGCCACGGGCTGGTGGAGCTCTGATGACAACTTGGACAGTGATAGCGGCTTCCTGGCAGGGGGGCGGCCCCCCGGGGAGCCTGGTGGTCCCTTCTGCCTGGAGGCTCCAGATGGGTCCTACCGAGACTTGAGCTTCAAGGGGCGCTCAGGCGGGTCTGAAGGCCGCTGCCTTGCCTGCACTGGCATGTCCATGTCATTGGATGGACAATCCGTCAAGCGAAGTGCCTGGCATACCATGATGGTCAGCCAGGGCCGGGATGGATACCCAGGGCCTGGGCCAAGCAAAGGGCTCCTGGGTCCAGAGGCCAAGGCCAAAGCCAGGACTTATCACTACCTGCAGGTGAGGCTTTGTGGGGGTGGGGAACAGGGTTCTCAGCCCTCACCAGGCTTGTCAGCCAGGGAACAATGAGAATGGTTGGCTGGGAGCCAGCTGTCCCTGAGATGACGGAGGGACTAGATGCAGGGTGGCTCAGCTTTGCCTTCACTGTGATACTCTGGACCCCCTTCGGGGCCTGGATTTTTCCATTTGTCCAATGAAGGGCAGTGGCCTCTGATTCTGGTGATGTGTATCAGTGCCAGGAAGATTTCTCCTTGACCTCTTGAACAAGCTCTGCTGGCCTCTGTCTTTGGTTGGAGGCAGAATGTGGTTGAGGAAGGCAGTGGACAGGATGGGTAATGCTCTCTGGCTGTAGCTGCTCTTGAGCTTGGAGGTGGGCAGTTGGAAAGCAGTTCTCTTGCCTCTGGGCCTTCTCCAGACCTTTTCTTCTTAAATCTGGGTGGTCCAGATATTGTTGGAATGTGGAGGTCAGCTTATGCCTCTGCTGAGGCATATTTATTGTCTTTCTGGGCTCCATGTAGTCCTTGTAACTATGGGAGTCTGTTTCACTTGTTTTCCTGGGCTAGAGACACACCCGTTCAAGCCTGAGCCTTGATACTATCCCAGGCAGGGTTTCTGGAGAATGGGCGCTACAAATGAGGCTGAGTTGCCACTTTCTTCCTGTCTTATCACCTCTGAAGCTCTGCTGGTGGGGCTAGGAGTTCTGACCCCTTCTTCTAGAGCCCTCAGCCCATACTGTTTTCATGAGCTCTCCTGCAGTTTTAGTTCTGGAGATCCAGCAGGTTTAGGGTTTTCTCCCAAGCTAACATTCCTCTTAGATAGTTAATCCCCATTCATTCAGTGAGCATCTCCTGGGTGCTGTGGATACAGAGATGTAAGCACAAATGCTGCCAATGAGAGCTCACAGTTTTGAGGGGATCGATCAGGAAGCAGATGGAACACACACACACACACACACACACACACACACACACACACACACACACACATTATGGTAGGCTGAGATAGAAGAGAACTCTGGCCATCAAGGGGATACAATTGGTGGGTGGGCAGTGTGGCTTGGCAACGTTTCTAAGAGGAAAGTCCCCCGAGTTGGATCTCAGTGGAAGAGTTGGAGTTAGTTGGGCTTGAATGAAAGGTGTTCCTGGAAGTGTCTATAGTGAGTTCAGAGGTCTGGAGAAGAGAAGCTGTATGTGTCTTTTGCTTGCCATTGGCTTTGCTAGTAAGTCATTCACTGGGACCGCTCACAGAAGCCCAAGGGAGCAAATCAGGCCATCGTAGAAAGCAGGAAGTGACTTCTAGTATTTGAGACTTGTAGGTTGGCCTTGGGTTGCCCCTTCCCTGGGTAGGGAGGTGCTGACAAGTGAAGGGTACAGAGAAGGAACACCCACCCTTCCTCTCCTATAAGCAAGCCTTTGCCAGCCTTGGAGTTTTGCCACCATTTTCCTTCTCTCAGCTGCTTCTCCAGGGCTGCCTTGACCTCCCTGGGGGCTTCCTTTTTAACATGCATCTCACAGTGTCCTGCAGAGGAGCAAGTTGCTCTGCAGTAGCTGTGGAGTGGGAGCCCTGCAGTGTGGCACCGCATGTCCTGGCTGTCCCATCTGCTGGCATGCCCACTGTTCCTGTCTGTAGAGTTTGGGGCATAGGGGATGATGGTCCTCTTAGGATCAGAAAGTCTGAGCCCATTTTGGAGAAAATGAGGGGGCTGTAGGAACCTCCCAGATAGCCTGGTGCTCCCTCGCACAAAAGCAGGGGAAGCTGGCCCCATCCACTGTGGTAGACTTCCAACCCCTTTACAGATGCAGTGGCTCTCACAGAGACAGCAGCCCTCTCTCATACCTTTTCTGATCCCTTCTTTACTCATTGGGTTCTTGTTCCCTGGATCCCTGTTCTTGGATCCCTGGCTACTTGCAGAGCTCTGTTCCTCCCTGAGCTCTCTTCACTCATTTCCTGTTCTCATAGTATTCCCTGTCCATTCTCTAGCCTCACCTTGCTTTTGAACTGTACATTGACCTGAGCTTTGCGTTCCCTCTCCCTCTTCTTCTCCCTCTCCCTCTCCCCCCCCCTCTCTGAGATACCCTTGTCCTCTTCTTTCCAACAACATTTTAAAATCTTCACTGCCTCCCCAACCCTCTCTTTTGCTTTCACTTATACCTTATCCTTCACAGTGTAGGTGACCATCATGGGCTCCCTCAGAGATCAAGCCAGGACTTGCGTCTTAGGCTGACCTCTCCACCAGGGCTTACAGATTTCCTCACCTCTAATTGCCATTACCAGCTCACAGACAAAGAAAATTACGTGTGTGTGTGTGTGTGGTGTGTGTGTGTGTGTGTGTGTAGAAACCAAGGCTTGACTCAGGGCTTTGAGCTGTCATTTAGCTTTTTCTCTTAAGGCTGATGTTCTACCACTTGAGCCACAACTCTATTTCTAGCTTTTTGATGGTTAATTGGAGATAGAGTCTCACAGACTTTCTTGCCCAGCCTGGCTTTAATCCTTGAGCCTCAGATCTTAGCTTACTGAGTAGCTAGGATTATAAGTGTGAACCATTGGTGATCAACTGAAAAGTTGATTTTATCCTAAAACATCTTTCCTTATCCTCACCCCTTCTACTTCCTGTCTTCTCTTCTTTCCCAGTTTCTTAGAGCACAGACTTTTCTCTTTACTTTCCTTCATTTACCTCCTCCAGTTTGCCTAAAACTTCCACAACCCCATTCTCTAGAGCACACTGGCACTGCTCAAGTGGTTATCAGTGTCCTCTGGAGAGCTGTCCCCAGAGAGTGTCCCCTTCAATGGCTGTAATAAGAGTTAATATTTATGGATCGCTTTCTATGTTCTGGACCCTGAATTGGCTTACTTACCTGTGCTACCAACCCTCTAGTGTGGTATAATTACCATTGCCAACTCACAGACAGGGAATCAGGTACTTAGCACTTAATCGGTTTTGTCCAGGTTTACCTGTTAGCAAGTCATGGCACCAGAATTTGCACAGGGATCTCCTAACTCCTGAGCCCAAGTCACTAACCTCTGCGCGCACTGTGGCATTTGACATAATCGACTCCTTTTATTCTTGAAACGTCTCCTGTTTTTGTGACATGGCATTCTCCTGACTTCCCTCCTACCCCTCTGCCCACTCCTTCTCAGGTGTCTTCACAGGCTTCTCTTCTTTGCAGTCCCTTTTTAAATGTCAGCCAATCTCTCTTAGATCTCTCTTCTCTTCCCTGGATTGCCTATAGATCACTCCTATTGATCATCTACCATTCATGACTCCCACATGTTTGCCCCCAGCCTCCATCTCCCCACAATCAGATATCCAACCATCAGCCTAGCAATTCTATGTCAAACTCAAGGTGCTCAGACATGAACCTATCATCTCTCCTCAAATCTGTTTCTCTGGGGTTCTGTGGCTCTGTGAACGACAAGCACCCGCCTCAGGTCCTCAGCCATCAGCCTCACAGTCATCCTCAACTCCTCCCCACCACCTCTTCCTTCTCCCACAGCTAATCAGGCTAGCTGTTCGCCTTAACACCTCTCATCTCCATCTCCTCCTCTTCCCCTCATTGTCATTGTCTTAATTTAGGCCTCTGCATCTTTTGCTTGGATAGCAACCTCAGCTCCTAATTGGTCTCCCTCCCGCCACTTGAACCCCTGCCCTGCTCCTGGCCCTCCATTATCTAGCCAGCTTCTGTCTGGACTGTTGAGAGCTCCTTCCTAACATGATGTGTTCCTTGCCTAATGCTCTCTGTGGCTCCTCAAGGGATGGGAGGTAGTGGGGGGTGGGGGTCAGAGGATGTAGGATGTAAACAGGCTAAAAGGATCTAGGGAGAAGCAGGGGTAAAAGGTGACTGAGGTCAGGTGATGCTTCCCTGATGGGAATGTGATTGACACAGGTCACTTAGACCTCTGATCTTCAGCCTCCTGGTACCTGGCATGTCAAAACACTAGCTGTTCTAGGTGGCCCTCAATTAAGTGGCAAAGGTCCTGGGAGGATGATGCAGCATCTCTTGTAAGGGAGATCTCAGTGGACAGCCTGAGAGACACTTCCTCTCCCAGTTCTCCGCTGCCTGTTCCTGAGTGTGGTCTGTTCCAGCCCGAGAGAGCACCTCCCACTGGCAGTGGGCAAGAGGATCCTGAGCTCGAGATTGACATGTCTGAGAGACAGAGGCCCTTGTCCCTGCAGGTGCCACAAGACGACTGGGGGGGTTACCCCACGGGTGGCAAGGATGGGGAGATCCCCTGCCGCAGGATGCGGAGCGGCAGCTACATCAAAGCCATGGGGGATGAGGAGAGCGGAGACTCGGATGGCAGCCCCAAGACATCTCCCAAAGCACTCGCCCGGCGCTTTGCCTCCCGCCGCTCCTCCAGTGTGGACACAGCTCGAATCAAGTAAGAACTGAGGGTGGTGGAAGGGGTGGTGGTGTCGGTGACCAGGGATAAGGGTCAGGAAGCTGATACTGGGCTTCTGCAGAGCTGAGTGTGGAGAGGGCTCCAGCTGGGTAGTCCTGCTTAGGGTTCAACTGGGGTGTCTCACTCTGCCTCATGTAAAGGGCTGGGTATACCCCTGCCACAGTTCCTGCATAAGTGTCTTTGGGGAAGGAATCCCTGCCCAGACTTGCCTGGGCTTTTCAAAGAACTGAATGTCAGAGGCCTTCTCCCCATCCTCCTAACAGACCCCCCAATCTGACTGGCATTTTGGCCTTTTCCAGCTGCTGTGTCCCACCCCGGATCCATCCTCGGAGCTCCATCCCTGGCTATAGCCGTTCCCTCACCACTGGACAGGTAGGAGGAGGCCCAGTACACCTGGAGGGAAGAGCGGGAAAGGGGATTCTGTTCCACATTCAGCCTACCTCTGTGTCCCTGGAGAGAAGTCAGGTGTGGTTCTGGGGGGACCCAGAAACCTGCCTTGGGACCTAGTGCTGCCTCAGACTGGGAAGCCCCTGGGAATCACATCTTTGAAACCCACAAGATGTCTTTGAGAAGATGACCTTGCAAGGAGGGACAGGACTAGTTCTCTGGGGATGCCTAGACTTCTCCAGGCCTAACTGCTCTGTGCCCACCCCATGCAAAGGGTATGATTGATGGGTACAAATGGCATAGAGACCAAGCTCAGTCTTTGAGACCATCTGGGCCTGAGTTCTGTTTGTCTTTTGGGACCACAAGCAAGAGACCCTACCTCTCAATGCCTCTGAGTTCTCATCTTCAAAACGACAGTAGTGATAGCTAGCTGTCAGATAGTTGGTGAACGTTCAGTGAAATATAGTATTCCTACATAAGTATCCAGATTGATATTTTATAAAGATGAGTTTCTTACCTAAGTACAGACTTACCCCTGAATTTATAAAGGTGGTGGTAGTTTAGTAATTAAATACAGGATGTAAGGTTGAATTCTAGCTTAGATGACTTACCAGCTGAGTGACCTAGGGCAAGTTACTTGACTTTTTTTGAGCCCCACTTTCCTTATTTAAAAATAGGCATCATAATAGTGTTCTTGGCACATAGCCAGCACTCAATAAAGGTTAGCTATTTTTACTGTTTGCTGGGGGAAAAGAAGCAATGCAAAAAAGCCTCCCTTAAGACTGTCCGCATTGGCCCCCATTGTTGGCAACAGCAGTCTCTCAGTATTTCTTTGTTACATCTCCGGAATCTGGGAATCTGATTGGCATGGCTGTCTTTTCACATCAGGCCAGCCTGCGCTGCTAAACCCACTAGTTAATGCTTAGGCTTGTATCCCTCGACCCATTGGCAGCATCTAACACTGTCAATAGATCTCCTTCCTTCCTGAAACACTTTTGGGGATAACAGTGCCTCTAGATTCTCCCTCCCTCACCCATCCCTTCTTTTTTACTGTGTCTTGGGTACTTGAAAGCTCCCCGGGATTTCAGTACCGGAGTTTTCCAGGGCTCAGTCCCTAGACTGCTTTCTACGCCCACTGCTTAGGTGATCTCATCCAGGCTCATAGCGTTGAATATTACTGAGAGCCTGATGACTCCCGAATGCAAAACTGCAGCCCAGCCCTCCTGTATATGGAACTGTGTGTTGAAATCTCACTTGCTCGTCCACTGGACATCTAGACTTTAATGTGCTCAGAAGTAAATTGACGAGCCCCCCTCTTCCCCATCCATGTTCCAGTCCCTGTCTTCTGATAATGACAACTTTATTCTTCTTGGACTTCCGGTCTAAAAGCCTGAAGTTAACCTTCTCCTTTTCCTCTCTTTTTTTTTTGTCCATCGTGGGGCTTGAACTCTGGGACTGGGTGTTGTCCCTCAACTCTTCAGCTCAAGGCAAGTGCTCTACTGCTTGAGCCATAGCGCCACTTCTGGTTTTCTGGTGGTTTATTGGAGATAAGCATCTCACAGACTTTCCTGCCTAGACTGTCTTTGAACCACGATCTCTCAGATCTCAGCCTCCTCAGTAGTTAGGATTACAGGTGTGAGCCTTCAGTGCCTGGCTCCTTTTCCTTTTCTTAACCTTACTTTTATATTTTGTGTTAGGAATCAAATTCAGGAACTTGTACATGTTGGATATGTGATCTGCCACTGAGCTATACTCTCAGTCTATGAAGTTAGTCTGTCTCCTCTTTCTGTTTGTATCTGTCTATGTCTGTCTGCCTTGTCTATCTGTCTGTCTGTCTGTCTTACCCCCACTCCCTCTCTGTCTTATCCTACATGCACTCTTTCAGCAAATTCTGTAGGTCTCACCTTCAAAACATATGTAGGATCCAACCACCCTCACTACCTCCACTGCAAGTCACTGTGTCCTTTTGTTTGGATGGTCTCATTGCCTTCCAGTTGGTCTTCTACATTCAGCCTGACTGCACTTCATCCTGTCAGGGTAGCCAGAGTGATCATTTAGAAATATAACTACATCATGCACTTTTCTGCTTAAAGTCTCCACCTAGCTCAGAGCAAGCATCAAGGGCTTTTTAGTCTGATTTGTAAGGTCCTACATGGTATGACCAGTGCTACTTGTGAGTTCCTCTTCTTCGTCTCCTTCTGGCCTCACTAACCTCTCTCTGCTCTTCAGTCAGCACAAAGTGCTCCAGCCTTTCGACCTTTGCACTTTCCACAATCTCTGTTTGGATGTCTCATTCCCAAACATTCCCATGGACCAGTTCCTCACAGGTCTTTTCCCAAACACTCTAAAATTAAAATTTACCCCTCCCCAACATTTCCTATTCCTCTTCCTCCTCCTCTTCCTCCTCCTCGTCTTCTCTCCTCCTCCTACTTTACATTATCTAACAGCATATACAGTTGACATATTTCTCTGGGAGATGTGGCTTGGAATCCTGCTTTACAGAAGAAGAAAGAGATTTAAAGCACAGGAGATGTCCCTTTAGTATCTCCAATAATACTTTTCTCTCAGATGTGATTTTGTTTAGTATTTGGTAGAACATCTTTTTCCATCTTTGGAAAAAAAGGTTTATTTGGTCTCCTATGTTTCAGGTATGTTTTTTGTAAATAATTTATAAATTTGGTTTTATGTCTATTTGCTAATTTATCAAGTGTACATTTATATTTATTGTGATTGTTGATATGTTTGGATCTAGTTCTAGAATCTTATTTTGCGCCTTCTGTTTATCATGTTTTGTGCCATTTGGGTGATGCTTTTTCTACTCCTTTGCTGCCTTCTTTTGGGCTGATTGAGTTTTCTTTATTTTCCCTGCCAAATCCTGCCCTGGTTTGACAGTTAGATATTCTATTTTGATCTTTATGGTTACTCATAATTTTAATGTGAGTACTTGACTTAGCAGCCTGAAGCTGACAGTTTTTCTATCCTCCCTTTGCATAAGGGAAAGATCTCGGGACACTTTAAATTTGATGATTTCTTTCCTTCCCTTTTTTTTTTTAATGCAACAAAAATTTGGTTTTGGATAAGAGTATTCCTAGCTCAGTGGTATAGTATTGGCCTGGTATGCCTGAGGCCCCAGGTTCCATCCTCAGTGCCATACAAAAAAAATTATTTTCTCACAATTCTGGATGCTAGAAATAAATTTGCCAGCTGGGATGGTTTCTTCCATGTAGTAACTTGTGTTTTCATATTGTTGTTCAAAGAACATGGCATATTAAATTTGATGAGATACAGTTCATCAAATGTTCTCTTCTTGACTGTGCTTTTGGTCTAAAATTTCAGAGAGGTTTGCCTAATCTAAGATCACAGAAAATTAGGGGCTGGGAAGGTGGCTCAGTGGTAGATCGCTTGTCTTGCATGCATGAGGCCCTGAGTTCGATTCCTCAGTACCACATAAGCAAAAAAGAAAAGCCAGAAATGGTGCTGTGGCTCAAGTGGTAGGGCGCTAGCCTTGAGCTGAAGAGCTGAGGGACAGCGCCCAGGCCCAGAGTTCAGGCCCATGACCAGACCCTCCGTCCCCCCCAAAAAAGAAAACTAATACTATATTTTCATTTAGGTACATAATCTGTTTTTAATTTTTTGGTATGGGTTTGAGATTTGAGTTAAGGGTTCAACTCCACCCTTTTGCATTTCCCCAGCATCATTTGTTGAAAGACTTTTTCTTTCCTCATTGACATTTTTTATCTCCGTTGTCAAGATTAATTTATCTAAATGCATGTATAGTGATGTTTCATATCTGTTCCACTGGTGTACATGAATGTATTTATTCCATTACCACTTGCTTAATTAGGGTAACTTTGTAGTGAGAATAGATTTTTGGTAAATTTGGTGAGCATTGTTACTCTTTGTAAGAATTGTTTTATATTTCATTTTCATATAAAATTCAATTTTGAGGAAGCATGTTGAGAAGGTTAAAATATAGTTGAGAATTTGGAAATACATCGAAGTTGTATATCAATTTATGGCGTACTGTAATGCATTTTTAAAATTTATTTTTGGTGTTGGTCTTGGGACTTGAACTCGGGGCCTGAGCACTATTTCTGAGTGTATTTTTGCTCAAGGCTAGTGTTCTACCATGTTAGCCACAGCTTTACTTCTGCCTTTTTGGTGGTTAATTGGAGATAAGATTCTCATGAACTTTCCTGTCTGAGCTGACTTTGAACTGTGATCCTCAGATCTCAGCTTTCTGAGTGGAAGCCATCAGCTCCTGGCTCCAGTTAGTTTTTATTATTGTTGTTACTTTTTATTTACTTACTTATTTTTATCCATGAATGGCACTCAAACTCAGTATCTGATGTATTTAGTCATTGGTTGATGTTCTACTATCTCTACCATGCCTCCAAACCCCTATTGTTACTTATTACCCTGCTAGTACTAAATTATACATACTCCTGTCTTGTCCTTCTTTCTTGATCACGATAGCTTCTTATATCCATTCTTTACTCCTAAAGTATATATAGCCTTTCAGGGACTGTTAGTAGCAGACTTTAATAAAAAATACGTTTTACCCTCTTCATTTGATATACTTTAGCTCATTGGGGGAATTCCAAGCCAACATTTATTCTCTCTTGGTGTTTTGAAGATATGTCTTTGTCACCTCTCTTCTATTGTTGCTTCTGAGAAGTCTGCCATCAAGCAGTTACCTTTGCAGGAGATTTTCATTCCCTCTTGGTTGCTGTTGAGATCATATTTTGATTTGGATGTTCTACATTTTTTTTTTGGGTCCGGTTGTGGGGCCTAAACTCTGGGCCTGGGTGCTATTCCTCAGCTCTTCAGCTCAAGGCTAGCGCTCTACCACTTGAGCCACAGCGCCACTTCTGGCTTTTTTCTTTTTGCTTATGTGGTGCTGAGGAATCGAACCCAGGGCCTCGGGCATGCAAGGCAAGCGCTCTACCACTGAGCCACCTTCCCAGCCCCTGGATGTTCTACAT